TGTGTGTACGCTTTCCACGGGAGTCCATAAACCTCATTATTTGCATAGACGGAGGCGGAAAGTTAATTTTACTCTGTCAGACACTGTCAGCAAGTATCATCAATGATGGCTCCGGACAGGAGTGAGTAGTTAACCATGAATAGATCGGTAGCAATTTCTTGTATCCGCTCATTGCACCTAGGAAGTGAATGTACCGTGATGAATTACGGAAGTGGCAACAAACGGTTCCAACAGTATATTCACGACAATCGCTACAATGTGGTGAAAATCGGGATAGAGTGCTATCAGCAAAAATCCTGACCGACCAGTTAGTCTTTATCTATCACCCCCTCGTGTCTCGACGTTTCCGGATGTCCAAGCGTAAACCTAATTGATGAATTTCTTTGATATCCGGAACATTCTCATTGCGTTTACTTTAGAAAAAGATACAATTCCAATATCGATGGCACGAACAAGCTCCATTTGTGCACCCACGGGCAACGTGTGAGCACGTTCGATGAGACCTGTATATCGGGGAGGGAATGAAGGAGGACAGAGTAGTGTTTACCAAAGTTTTCTGGAAAAAATTTGCCTCAAAAGTCTTTGTCTTTGTGTCCTCCTCACGTTTTAAAACGGAACTTCACTTTAATGTGAGATAGTTGGGGCAGATGGTAGTACGCTATCCAGTTTTTACACTCAGAGACACACACACACGGTACACTTAGAAAATTAACTTTTTCAGTAGAGGTAAAAATCACCTAGTGATGAATCGAGATCACAGGTGATTCCCTTTCTTAAACAAGATACTCCATTGAGCACCATATTAGGTCATTCTGACGTGGAACCAGTTGTCCGAAGTAGTCCCGGAAGGTATCACGTTTGCTGCTCTTAGTGGACTACACTGAATTCATCCATTCTCTTTAGGTTATCTTAGTTCAGCCGTAACTTGTTGACAGCGGTTTGCAGGATGCTGTGTTTTAATGCCATCGGGTTTCGTGCTTGGTGGTTCATAGAAAATCCGGATATGTATACACGCGTTTGAGCCATTCTGTCGTGGGAAGTAGACGTCTGGATTCAGATGGATGGGTTCAGGAACCTTCCAACCAAAATACAATTACACTTTAGGTTAAATGGCTTGGGATACGAAAGAGTTCCGTTAGAAGAGTCACTATTAACCTGCCCCAAAATACTTCAAAGAAATAGCGATAATTAATTTTGAAGACAAAATGACTATCCATACGAAAGGTTTTAGAACTCACAAGTAAAACTGGTTTTCCTCATTGGGCAAAGCAAATCGCAATACTTGCCAAAACCTGTTATTCATTATAGGTTTCGGGTTCGTATTAATGACTGGGTGTAAAGAACAAGCTGTGGAATTACTGTCTCTCTCTGCTGTTTCTGATAAACCACCAAGGAAAAAACCTCAACCGAAAATTTTATTTCAAACGCATGCGCCAAAAATCTCAAAGTATTTCAGCGAGTTTCTTCAAATTTCCTTTCATTTTCTACCGACCGCAAACAAGCGGAATAACGGGACTGTTCCACTCAATCGAACATAAATAAAAAATAAAACAAATATATTTTCACTGCCTTTTTTATTTATTCAGTATACAAATGTGCAGTCAACTTTCAGGAAGGGGACTGCGGCCATACGAAGGCTATCTGGGGAAAGTACAGAAATAGGGAAGAGGGGCGGCGGTGGAGCGGTTTGAACCCGAGACTCCCGGGTTACGGTTGAGTGACCTAACCAATTGGCCACCACGGCCAACAATCGTCGTTAATCGCAACTACACAATGTTTCGGTCACTTGGTTCATACAGAGGCATCAATCTTCTTGTCAACCAGAATTTCCTTCATGGTAATCAGTAACTACTAATAAATAGTAGTAATTTCCTATTCACATGAAGCTCGTGGTCTTTCATGATTTTGCCCCTTAGATTCCAATAATCATTGATTGATTTGAAAACGCTCTTTCGAAAGGGTTTAAGAATGCCCTTTTTCTTGGGTTCTCTTGTTAACAGCCGTCATGATTATCACTAAAAAACCCTTTCATTTCAATACGTTCGTAACTGGCTCACCTGTTTATTCAGACAGTTTGACTATAATAGATCGGTGTGGAAAATAGTGGTTCCGACTCGGTGCCAGGGTGCTTTAATTTATGAAATTGGAACAGCCGATAGAAATGTAATTTTCCCTAGCCTGATAATTTTAACTGGTCACAGGAAACTTTAAATTATAGGATAACTTCATCGTGTCAATGACGCATGAACTGGAAGCCAGGAAGCACTGGACAGCTGTTTCGACGTGGTTGGGTCTCATCAGCAGTAAGAGAATCCATCGAACCAACTGGGGATCGATCCCGGGACCTCATAATTGACGCCTCATTTGCACAAAAAAATTATTGTGTGATCAAATCAAATTCTCCACTCATATCATGTAACAATTAATTATGTCGTGAAAGTTTCCAGCTGAGTCATAACCCTGGAGGTTAGAGCTAAGATGAGCAAGGCGCAATTCCCGCAACAAGATTACAACGATTGATTGTGCTACATGGTGCATAAGGAAAATAAAAAACAATCTGATCAGCTGTTTGATGTTCCAGTGGATAGTATACGTGCGTGCCACCTGTGAGGTCCCAGGTTCGCGACCCCAAGTTGGGTCTCTGGATTCACTCGCAATGTGCTGATGAGACCCAAACACGTCGAAACAGATATCCATTGCTTAATAGTATCTCAGCTGATGCCTCACTGACATGACGAATTCATCATATTGTGAAATCAAATCCTTTATCTCTCTATTAAATCTCTTAATTATCCGGTTGCAACCTCTCTAGATGACTGATGCTGTGCAGCACTCAAAAGGTATTTACATGCTGTTGTAAACATCTGTCATTTGAATAGTTTGATCGTCAGATTTGCGATCATATTGATTTTTAATTTACAATGGTAAGCAATTAACACATTTACCTGAATGTGATTCAATTCGGCGAAAGCTAACCGTGAGTGGGGATCGTATTTTTTGCCCGGTTTTTCTTTTTGCACAGGTGCCGGCGTCACATTTCCCGGCCTTAGAGGTAATGTTCTCGAGGCTTTGGAAACGGGAGATATATTGCAAGAATGCCGTGTAGTCAGCTCAAAACCGGCCGAGTATCGCTATCAGTGGTTAGGACCCGATGGAAATCCAATCTCTAATACTGCTTTTCTACAAAAGGACTACGTCCTTCGACCACAAGACGAGGGCATTTACACGTGTTTGGCCACTCCAACTCAGAATGGCTTACTGCCCGTGGAAAGCAGTCTCATTGTGACTATTACGCGTAAGTTAACTGCCCCGTAAACTCGTTCACAGAAGTTATTCCGTTTTGCTCCTTACATGTATTCGAAGTCAGGATACATTTGCTACCGAAGCAATAATATTTAAGAGGTTGTGTCCGGTGAATACTTCTCAAATCTAATAAAAATACGTAAATTATTTTGAAGGGCGTTTAAGTTCAACACAGAAATCTATGACTATTTGTGAACAACAATCCAAGTGGATTAAACATCGCATCTTGGTCACCGCGGAAGCAGTGGGAATTCGCATTCACAATCTATCCTTGTGTGCACAACAACAATTTGTGAAGATATTGTGTCTCCCATGGGCCTCCATCCACCCCACCCATATTCACCCACTCCCTCCTCCAAAATCTGTGGTAAATCCAAACTATACACCACACCAAAAAAGGAGACATATTTATTCTTCCAGGTTTAATAATTGATTAGTGTCATTTTTTCGTAAGTAATATCTCTGCCCACTAGTAATTTATCCGAGTTATATAACGTATGATGTATCAACTAAAGAACACGCATCTATGAAAGCAAGTCTTGTTCGCTACATTGTGTTCTATTCAATACAACCCTGAGTCATTTTTTAAAAGAGCTCTTTGTATAAGCCATGCATCAAATATCTCACCTCTGTTAATGCTTTTAGACTTAAAGAGATCACTATTCTACTGAGATGAAACGATACAGGCATTCGAATGAGCAGTAAAAACCAATCAGTTAATGAATCAATTTATCTATCTCTCCAACTAACTATCTATCTATTTATCTATTTTTTACCATGAGTATTTATAAATCTCTTTTGATAGTCGTTCTTTGTTGAAGTGAAAGAGAACTACACATTGGTTCTTTACTTGATTACATTTACTTTTGAGCTACAGCCCGTCATGAAAGTTCAGTGTCGTGCCTTCGGAGCACATGGCCAAACCACTCACGGCGCCGGCGTTCTAGCATTTTCGAAAGATTGCCAATGTTCGAGCGGCGCCATCTAACCTCATCATTGGAAATCCGATCTCTCCAATTTACTTTCGAGATAAGGCGTAAGCACCAATGATCAAAGACCTCAAACTTGTTTGTTTTACAATCACAACTGAGGATACGGCGGATGGGAGCCTGATAAACCCGGAGCTTAATGTTTAGACTTATTTCGCATTGATTCCACAACGGTCACATATTCGATCACGTTCATTCGATTGTTTGTTCCATCTCTTTCAGCTCTTCGATTCACCATCAACACTGTGGCTGAGGATCTGAAAGTGGGTGGATTCACTCGCCGCCGAATCAGTCTGATACCGCCTAACGGAGCACACTTGAACACTCGTGAGACGTTCACTTATCAATGGCTCAGCCCGGACGGAGCACCGATTCCGCAAGGAACCGGACCAGACATGCACGTGACGTTCCGCAGTCCTCAGGATTTCGGTCGGTACTATGTTCAAGTTCGCGGATTGAATTCCGGCTATAAACGTGATTTGATCAGTTACATCACGCTGGATGGTGAGTAGGATGAAAAAGATCTGTATTCGGTTCACTCAATTGCAAATGATGGTTTTGTTTGCTGGGTGGTTCATAAGAAGAAGCAAAGCTGTTCGATGTTTGTGTTTGTGTTTTTGTATGAGTGTGTGTGGACACAAGTCTTCCATAATAACCTATTTGAACAATGATAAAACTAAACACACCTTTAAAACTTTTATATACTGATGTTGAATGCATTTTATAAGCGTTCGTATCACGATCAGAGACATTCTATCACAATTATCGTCAGTGAGATTGAGACTTGCAAACTACTGGCCTGTACCTTCGTGGTTTCACTGTTGTAGTGTACGAGTCATCATCATCATCGTACAGTGAAATACCGTGAAGCAAATTTCACTGACCGCTGCCAAACTCACGATGCATACAACATTGGTGGTAAAATTTAAGGTGTACAGGGGTTGGATCTATTTTGAGGAAGGGAGAAGAAGATGAGCCACTATGGTCAACACAGAGTACGCAATCGAACTCTGCATACATACCGTTTCAAACATTTTGACCTGATAAGAAACGACAACAAGAACGCCACTACTGTCGGTTTGCTGCCATATCCCTCAGTGTCTCCAACCAACCAGTTGTGGAGTCTTTCGGACCCCAACCTGGAAGGCGAGAGACACCTACTCTACCTAATGGCTCTGTGCATTTCTTCANCCACGTCATCTGTTGACCTTCATGTGGTTTCCTCCGGATTAGCGACAGCGAATAAAGCGCGGTGCGGCAGACGATGGCTAGGCATACGCAATACGTGCCCTTGCCAGCGAAGCCTAGTAATCTGAATTCGGTATGCTGGCAGATTTATGCCTGACAGACTCCCAGACACGACGGCTTACCTCCACGTTACTAACCCGTTCGCTCCATCCAACATG